GGCCCAGGCCGGAGGACGGCAAGGGAGACCCCGCCCCAGCCTTCCTCAGACCATCAGCTGTCACCTCCTCTGCCCTGAAGCCCTCCTTGCCCTCACCCCACCCCGCTGCCCGGGACCAAGGCCCGGCTCCTGGCTCATCCCACCTGCCATCTGCCTCCCTGGCTAGACCGGTCCTGGCTTCCTGAATAGGACTCTGCATACAGCAGTTGCCCAATAAGTGTTTGGGGAATGAATGAGGCAAGGAAAACATCTGGCTGATAGAAGGTGGGCATTCAGACTGAGGGTCCCTGCTGTCCTCTGCCCTCAGATTGGGCCAGTGGTCCACCCTCTCTTGGCCACGTTTGCTCTTCTGCTTCCGATTTGGAGAGGATGGTCTGCTGTGTGACCCACTCACCCTCTCTGGTCCCCTTGCTGCTGTATGGAATCACACAGACCTCGGACCTAGAGGCTGGCAGGTCCCCCCTCAGCTCTGGTGCCGCTGCTAAAGCCTGAAGGGGGCGTGAGGTCAGAGGATTTGTTGGGGGGTGTCCACACTGCGTCTTGGGGTCTGCTGAGGAAGTGGGCCACCCCCAGGGCAGGGCTTCCTCCAGACAAGGACAGTGACCAGAGTGACCACACGGTGGCACGGTGTCTGGGTACAGCTTGGTTGCTGAGGCTGGGAGGAGGGAGGGCTGCAGTCTGCAGAGTGGGCAGTGGCCGAGCTCTGGTCCCTTGGTTATCTGAGATCTACCAGGAAGCCATACAGCCGTGGCCTAAACGAGGGAGGTCACTGTCCTGGGTCCTCACCACCTGTGCCTCAGCCAGTCTACAGTGGGGCTCCACCACCACCCTGGACCCAGGCTCCTTCTCTTATGTTTCTCTGCCTCTTTAGCCCCTAATTTCCATATTGTGGCCCATGATGGCTGCCTAGGTCCTGCCATCATGGCTGTCTTCCAGAAGGGGGTGGGGGCCCTGGGGAGAAGGGAAAGAGGAGGGTCTGTCCTAATCTTCTGAGGTTAGAACCTGGAAGTCACACACATCGTTTATGCTCCCATCCTGTTTCGCACCAGTGTCCAGTGGTCACCCTGAACTGCCAGGGAGGCTGGGAAATGCATCATTTGTAGTCTCTGAAGGGCCAAGTCGGGAGTGGAGAGCGCAGCTGACCCTGGTCCCTGCCACTGGGTGAGCTGGGAAGGAGGAGGGGGTCTGTCACCGTGGGGGCAACCACAGCAGCGAGATGCCCCACGGGAGGCTCTGGTCTCAAAGCCTCAGTCCGTGGCCTCCGTTGACCCGGCCCCTCCCTGCCTCCTTCCTCCTCTGCGGCAGCCCCAGGTCTCCTCCTGCCCACAGCCACCAGGCCCCCTGCCCCAGGGACTTGCCCTGCTGCTCCCCTGCCCCAGCGCTCTCCGGCCTCTCCCTGCCTCCCTCCCCCGCCCCCTCCAGGACGTCCCCTGTCCCCCCTGAGCCCCTGGCTCCCCCGGGCTCTCCTGCCCTGATTTCCTCAGCGCCCAGGCAGGCAGCGGGTCTCCCGATGGCCACTGTCTGTCCTCCCGCGAGTCTGCCCTCCTGCCCAGGGCAGGGATTTCTGCTCTTCCCTGCAGTGTCTCCGGGCTGGACCCAGCTGCCCCTCCGCAGAGGCTCAGGGCCTGTCTGGAGCGCGACGGAGTCCAGGAATCCAGGAGCTCGGCTGCTGCGTCCCCGTCCCCGTCCCCGTCCCCGTTTAGAGACCGGTCCCCGGGGGGTGGGGGGGGAGCCATCTCCCAAGGTCACGCGCTGGTGGGTGGCGCCCCCACCTCTCACGCTCAGCTGCCCAGAGCCCGTGGCTCCTGCCTGCAGCCGACCGCGATGACCCAGCGGCCACGGCGTCATGCCAGGCCCGGTGCCCGTCCCGTTAGCTCTGTGTCACACGGAACCGCCACCCGGCACAGCAGCAGCAGCACAGCATCAGGGCTGCTCACGGGAGACGCTGCCAGCTGCCCAGGCGAGGGCGGCCAGCAGGGGACAGAGCAGCGCTGCTCCCTCCGCTGCCAGGAGGTGGAGGACTGGACCCCAGGTCTGCCCGGGCCACCCTCCTCCCTGCCTCACCTGGGGTCCTCCCTGGCCCTCAGTCTCCTCTACTGAGAACGGGGATCTTCAAAGCCGTCCCGGGAGGGTCACCCAGAAAGTCCCACTCTGCCCCTCCCCGCCCCGCCGCCCCGGCCTGGGCGCCACCGGGGCCGCGGGTGCCAGGCTTCTGTTTAGTTTAATAATCTCCCGAAAGTTTAACTGTGGTTTCATCCACCCGTGACCTTTCTCTCGTCTGGAGACGTATTATTGCTCATCTACAAATTGCAAGAACCAGATTTATTTGCAAAACCAATTACCTGCCTATGCAAATGACCTCGCGGCCGCCTCCCGGCCAGCTGGCGGGTGGCTGGGCAGGGCGCTGTCGCCCGAGGCCCCCCCCCACTTATCTGGACTCCTCCAGCCGCGGCCCCCGCCCCGGGTGAATTAGCCTCGGGATCCAGGAGGCCCTGACCCCGCTGGCAGCCCCACCTCCTCAGGGGCCTCGGTGGCCAGAGGCGCTGACGCCGCGAGGGCCTCGCAGGAAGGACACCTGCTCTTCCCCCTCCTCCACCGGGTCGTCACCTCCTTCCGGGAGGCGGAAGGTTTCCAGGTCCTGACGGCCAGCAGGGCTGAGGGAGGAGACCGTCCCTGGGGGCAACAGCCCCAGAGGGAGGAGCAGCCCCGGATCCAGGTGTGAACCAAGCAGAACCGCCACAGGGAAGCGGTGAGCAGAGCCAGACTGTCAGGGCGCCCCCACCCCAGCATTCTGCTCCAGCCAAAGAGGCAGCTGCCTGGCTGCGGGTGGCCGGGTGGTTAGCCCTTGCAGGGCACACACGCTGCCCGGGATGGGCTTCAGCACTGCAAAGGGGAGGGGGAGTGGCTATTTCTTAAAATGCAGGACTCAGTCCTGCCACAGGGCCTTTGCACACGCTGCTCCCATGGCTGGGATGTGCTTCCCAGCCTCTGGCCAGTCTGCTCCTCCTCCCACGGGCTCTGCTCCCATCTGGCCTCCTTGGGAAGCCGGCTGTGACCACCCCGTCTCTTTCCCCTTCCCCCCCCCACACCTTGCTTTCCAATTCCAACTGCTTCCTGAAGTCGATTCTGCATTTGTGTGTTACTGTGTGTCTCACCTGCCTGATTGACAGCTCCTGGAGACGGAGCTCTGGGAGCTCACACTGCGTCCCCAGGGCTGGAGCAGGGCCTGGGTGCACTGTTCACTGACGGAGGGAGGGAGGGAGGGAGGGAGGGTGGGACGCGGCCCAAAGGCCACCTGAGTCCTGGTGTCTCTCACCACGAGGTCGCGCTCTGCTCCCCTGGGTGCTGGGCTCCCGACAGCCCCCCAGTGTGGCATGCCCCCGATTCTCAGCACATCACATGGACACCATGATTTTTGCAAATAAATCTCACCCTGGGGACTCCATGCCCAGCTCCGCTCGGAGGAGGTGCTTGATCCGCCGGCTGGGGGCGCGGGGGGAGGGTGTGACTGAATGGGGGGGAGGAGCGTGGGGGTGGAGATGGTGGGTGGGTGGCCTCCGGTCCCAGCATGTGCAGGGGTAGGTGGCAGGTGGGCGCAGAGCATGGAGCTCTGGGTGGGTGGCTGGGCAGGAGGTGGGTGGAGGGCGGGGGAGGCTGAGCAGAACTGGGCAGCCCCAGGCCCAGGCTCCATGTGTCGGCCCGGGGGAAACTGGGCACAGATGCGGCACAGACCTCTGGGCTCAGGTAGCTGCAGGCAGAGCAGGGAGCTGTCCCGTCCTTCCCCGTGGTGGCTGGGCGCATCCCCCCTGCCCGGGCCCTGCTCCCCACCTCCTGCTGCCGGGCCTCCATCCTGGGCCTCCATCCTGGCCGCCCGCAGATTCAATTACCCCGCCGCGGGGGCGGCAATTTTCTTTGTGGCTGAGAAGCTGCTTCCCCAGTGTGACTTCTAACAGCACCGAGACGCAGGGACATGCAGGGACAGACGCGCAGAGGCGGGAGCGCAGAGCTGAGCTGGAGGGGCAGGGAGGAGGCCAGAGGACAGCGAGAGGCCAAGAGGCTGAGGCTGGGTCCCCGGGGGTCTTCCCAGCCTCAGGCGGTGACCGAGCTTCCCTTGGGACCTCACTTATCCTGGAACCCCATTTCCCCGCGGAGACCTGGCTGGTGGCCTTGCAGGCTTCAGGCAGGGACCTGGGGGACGGTGGGCAGAGGAGGTTTCCTGCCCCTCCTGTGCTGGCGACCTGGGCTGGTCCCTGTCCTTCCCGGATTCTGAGCTGCCCCCTCCAGGCAGTGATGGACAGGGCCACCCTGGCCCCCACCCGAGCAGCTGGGGAGCGGCTTAACACAGTCCGCCTCTGCCCAGGGAGGACGTCGGCTCAGACACAGGGAAACCACTTCCTTCCCTCCCTCCCCTCCCAGTCCTGCTGGTTCCCCTGGCGCTGTGCTGCCCGGGTCATTCTCCACCCTCTCTGGGCTTCCGCTTCTCCGTGGCCCCGAGGCTGCGATTGAACCCCTGGTGAGGAGTGGCCTGAGGAAGTCACAAAGCCACCCCACGGGGACAGAAACCTTCCTCCCCCAAACTGGTGGTCAGCTGCACCCAGGGTGGCCACCCCCTGGCCAGGCGCCCTGGCTGAGCCTGTCATCCAGCTGCCAGGGAGGCTGAGGTGGGAGGCTGGCGGTTCCAGGCCTCGCAGCTGAGCAGGACCTTGTCTCAAAGTCGAGTCACAAGGGCTGGGGACGCGGGGGCAGGGCAGCTCCACGGGCCCCAGAAAGACCAGGACCTCCCAGTTTCCCGTCTCAGTGCAGGCCACCGTCTCCAGATCCTCCCATTTTCCCCAGCAGGAACTCAGCCCCATGGACACTGACCCCTCCCGGCCACTAGCTCCCACCTGCTGCTTCCTGTCCCTTGACCCTCTGGCCCCATTCGGAGGCGGAGCTGAGCAGAGGCAGGAGAGGGCAGGACCCCGGTGCACAGACCAGGCCCCGTGATCACCGGCTGCGGGCCTCACCTTCCCGTCTCTTCCCGTTCCCGGAGGCACCCAGCGGAGGCTCGGTCATCCAGGCCTCCTGGAGGCTGGGCGGGGTCCTCAGACTTCCCTGGTTGGGGACTTTGGTGGCCTCAGGAGAGCCGGTCAGCCTGTGACCCTGCAGCCTGGACCCGCTGGCGCCTCCTAGTGGACTGGGGTGGGCCGGGGAGGACCCTGGCCTCCGTCAGCCCTTGTGCCCACCCGGGTCTGCCCAGGACTCCCACGCACACCGTCCCTTACCTGGACGATGGCCCTCGAAGCCTCGCGGCCCCCGTGTTATCGATGAGGAAACCGAGGCCAGGTGGGACCTGGCTCCTGGCTTCCCGCGAGGGCGCGGCGGGGGTCACTGCTGGCTCCGTCTGGTCCTGGTCCCCTGGGGCTCCGTTTCCGCTTTTTATCTGCTGATTTATCTCTATTTTCACTTGTGGTCGGAGGGAGCCAGTCCCAGACAGTGGAAATCCTGTCCTCGGTCCCATGAGGGAATTCTCTTCTCATGGATTCTCTAATTCCTTGAGAATCTTCTATAATTTCTACAAACACAATGAAACATGCAGTTTGTTTGTCCTTTTTTAATGGCCGACGTAGCTTAGGAAGCGCTGGGCGAGGGAAAGTAGCTTGGAGACCTGCCCCAGAGCCCTCCTTTTCTACAGTTGCGTAGTACTCCACGCTGTGCAGACCGCATTCCCTCATTACTGACCTTCCTGGCTTTGCAAGCCTGTCCACCGGGTCTCCCTGGGAAGTTCTCTTCCCCCCTGGGCTGCGTGGCCAGGAGCCCTTGCTCTGCTGGGGACGTTAAGGCCATGTAGCTGCAGGTGCAGCCTGTGGCACTCACCCGTGAGAACAGCGTCCTGGAGCAGCTCTGTTGGGGACCCTGCCCTGGGGGGGGTCTGGGGGACCCAGTGAAGGGCCAGGCACGTGGGGGCCAGTGTGGCTCCAGGCAGGAGCGGCTTGTTCCTGGACGTTGCCCTGCCCCAGGTCACAGCGGAGCCCGGGGCGCAGATGGCGTTGTCTGAATCCGCTGGCGGCTCCCGGCCTCGGGGTCCATGCTCCTCCTCCTCCTTGAGAGGCCGAGGGTGTGGAAGAAATGGCCGTGGTCCTTGCGGGGACTCTGTCGCCGCTCCTGGGTGGTGGGGGTCCTGGCCATGGCCTCCGGGTCCCGCGAGCCCCAGGCTGGTGTCCCAGCCGACGGCCCCGAGGAGCCTGCGCCGAGCCCTCCCTGGGCCTGTGTCCGGCGGGCAGGCTGTGGGACACCCCCTTGGCCTGCCACCCAGTGCACCCGTCAGAGCCAGCCGCGAGTGTGACGAGCAAGCCACGGCCAGGGGCTTGAGGAGGCCCTGCCTCGCCTGCACCCCGGCCTCCTCCGTGGTGGGCCTGAGCTGAGCAGGGACGGCAGACCTCAGCCCGGCTCCTGGTTGGGAGTGAGGTGGCAGGTGGCCGGGACCCCGGGCCCTCTCTGGTCCCTCTCGTCAGCCTGGGCTGATCCTCACAGGAGGTCCTGCGCCAGATGCCTGTGACACGGCTGGAGGGCCCCGTGACGCCTGACTCAGCCCCACAGTCACCCTGCTCAGACCACAGCAGCCTGCCTGACTGTCCACCGCTGAGACCGGGACGGCAGCGTGCCCAGCCGCCTCCTCCTGAGGCTCTCTCCGGAGGCTCCGTGGCCCAGAGGGACATCTGGAGCCAGGGAGAGGCGTGTGGTGTGTCCCAGGGGGACTGTGTGAATCGGAGCGCAGGGCTGTGTCCTGCTGCTGTGGTGGCCGCAGGGTCCCCTCCTTCTTCCCTCCCCATAGCGTCCCGCTTGGTCTCGAGCGTGAACCAGACTTCAGGATCCCTGGGGGCCGTGTGCAGCTCCTGGGGACACAGGACACACTGGGGAAAGAGCAGAGCTGCGCCAGGGGCCTGTTCAACAGTGACACCTGGTGGCGGATGCCAGCACAGCACCGTGGCAGGGATGCCCCGGGCAGCGCCAGGGGACAGCCAGGGGCCTGGGGCATCTGCCCCCCCACTGCCAAAGGAGAGGCGGACAGTGGCCCCAGAGGCTCTGCTGGGCCACTGCTGCTCCTGCCCACCAGGTCCTTCCTGCCCCCGGAGCAGCACCGTGGACCTTCCCCTAAATGTCCCCTGTCCTGCCTTTGGCTCACGAGGCCCAGGTGGGGCTGCGGGCCTGGACACCAGGGGGAGGCTCCCTCCCTGTGCAGCGGCCCGAGTGTCCACCCTGGGGCTCACCTGTGTGCAGAGGCGCGAGGGCATCTCCACCCCTGAGGTCCTGCCACATCTGCTGGACTTGGGACGATCGGCCACGGGGTGGCTGTCCTCAGGGGCCTGAGCGGGCGGAGCCCCGTCCTCCTGGGGCCATCCGATGCCTGACTAAACCTAGCCATGACCCTGACCCTGACCCTGACCCTGACCCTGACCAACCCTGACCCTGACCCTGACCCTGACCCTGACCCTAACCCTGACCCTGACTCTGACCCTGACCCTGACCCTGACCCTGACCCTGACCAACCTTAACCCTGGCCCTGACCCTGACTAGCCCTGGCCTGGCCCCATGGTGACAGAGCA